TCACCGGCTCAGGATTGACTCAGCCTTCCATCCTTCTGAGGTGGGTAAAATGAGGACCCGGATTGTTGGGGGCAATATGGTGACTCTGTAAACCGCTTAGAGAGGGCTGAAAGCCCTATGAAGCGGTATATAAGTCTAACTGCTATTGCTAACTGCTATTGCTATACATGCATGCTAGTCGTTTCCGGCTCTAGGGGGCGGTGCTCATCTCTGTTTCTAAGCCAAAGAGCCAGCTCTGTCTGAAGACTTCTCCCTGGTCATGTGGCCAGCATGACTAAACACCAAGGGGGCACGGAGCACTGTTACCTTCCCACCAAAGTGGTTCCTATTTTTCTACTTGCATTTTTTAGGTGCTTTCAAACTGCTAGGTTGGCAGAAGCTGGGACAAGTAACGGGCGCTCACCCCGTTATGTGGCGCTAGTGTTTCGAACTGCTGAACTGCCAACCTTCTGATCGACAAGATCAGCATCTTAGTCACTGAGCCACTGCGTCCCCGTCATTGAACCTACTATCATACTTTCTCAATTTCATATATCTGGGGCCAATTCATAAATTTGATGCCTAAAGAGGAAGAGTAAACATGTTCTCACTCATTCCAAAGTCAAGACCCATATTATCTAAGGCTAGTTTGTTATCCTGATAACTGAACGGAAAGTCTCATGATCTTTGTAGGAGAATGAATATCATCATCACCATCATCATCTCAACAACAACATTTGCTACTGTTTTGCAATATTAAAACCAGTTGTTTCACCGGTTGCAATTGCCTCCTTAGCCTTGCAATAGGACCAATCCCAATTACTGTGTGTGATTAGTAGTTGAAATGAGATGAAGATGGAAGAGCAAATGCTTATATTTGACTCTTGGTCCTTTTCAAAGAAGAGGCAAAAGGGAAGAGAAACTTTGCTCCAAGAGTTGGAAATTGTACAGCAGGTATAGTGTTGGTGGTAGCCATAAGGTGGGATTAGGAGGACGTGAAATCTTCTGAGCCCTTGAGAGGATCATCTCAAAAAGTTGAATTGAATTGAATTGAATTGATTACATTTCTAAGCCGCCCAATCCCGAAGGACTCCGGGCGGCTAGAATTAGAATCAAGCAGCACAGAATGTTATATGTTAGCACATATGTGAACAAGGTGTGTCTTTGTACTAGAGTAGCCACTCCTTTTGAGGGGGAAATTGGAAACATTTGGGATAGTCCACTCTGGGGACAAGAAACAGGGGAAATGTGAAAGGAAAGGGGAAAAATGTCAAAGATCTCTAGGAATGTCAGCATCCTGAAGTAAACATGTTGTCTCAGGAGAACTCATAGAACTTTTAACAAGTCTTCAAATTCATTTTTTTCAGGTATGCCAAGCTCTGTTTAATAATTGCTTATGGCATTGTTTTAAGTGGAGAGTTACCATGGTATATTAATAAAGATGTTGGACTAAGGCTGGGGAAATCAGGTTTGAGTCCAGCTTTGGCTAAAAAACTCAATGGATGTCTT